ACATCTAAGCTGGGGTGAGGGTTTATTTCCCGTATAGAATGGTTGCAAAATTCAATTATCTTTGGTAACTTTTCATTCAGTGATTTCAAACAATGAGCCTTGGAAGCTTCACTGACAAATCTGACGGCAAGCCCTTCTCTGACAAACTCCTTCAGCTGCTCCATGAGGTAAAAATGAGATTTCTTGTATTGTTTGTCACGAGTACCTGTCTTGAAAGCATCTAAAGTATGCCTCAGCAGAAGGTAAAGCAATTCATGATATTGGTCTCGCTTTTGTTCTTTACTGGCACTTGACCAACGCTTCGTTGTAGCTTTGCCAAATGGGTTTCGATTCTTCCTCTTGCCCAAAACATGCAGCAGGTATGCTGGTGCAATATCGACACAATACTGCTGGACTTTATCCTTGCACAGCATCTCTACCAACTCTAGGAGACCTGCCTCCACGTCTTGCAAAGTGGAACTATTGGCAATCAGTTCGGAAGTGAAGTTTTCCAATGACGCCTTCAAAGTATCTTGAAGAAACACCTGCGTTTTATTCAAAACCAAAAAATTGTTGTATAGGAAGTGGTGCAAGCTCTTAGTATCCAACTCCAGTGGAAGAGGTGTTTCGTCTATAAAGGAAGTGATCAGCTCAATCGCTTCATTTATGTCACCAAGCATTATAAAGGGCGTTTCTCCAACTTTAACAGTAATTGGTTCCTGTTTTTTCTTCTGTCTGTGGCGGGTGTCACCCGTTCGCTGTTTGAGCTTTTTCGCAACAAAATGGACTTTTTTCAAAAATGGGTGGATCATTTCTTTCATTCTCACGGTCTGAACATGGTCATCAATTAAGGATTTTAAGGATTTTACAAAGCCAGGATTATCTGAGTGGAAATAAAGGACGTCACTCTCGTTGGACAATTTCTCCAAAAGGACTTCAGCACTCAGCTGAGGAAGGTTCTCCCTTACCTATTTGTAGACTCCATTGTCTCCTGTGCTACTCTTGAAAAAGCTCTCCCATCCTTTCTTGAGGTTTTCTCTTTTTTCATCGTGCAAAAGATCGAAGTTGGGTGAGGGTGTGTGTGGTGGTTCTCTGTCATTAACTACATGAATGAGTTTGGGCCGCGATGTAAACTCCCAGTTGCTACGCCTGCTAAATATGTCTGCGATATCTTGCGACGAAACTGGTCTCCCTGACTGACTACTACTAAAAAACAAAACTGTATCAGCCTTGTTCAGCTCCACATTGATTGTATCGTCTCCAATTGGATCACCGCGTCCAGGTAAATCTACGAATTGCACATCAAGCGCAACGCCTAGCTGCGGATGGCCCAAGCTTGTCCTGTCGCTCTCGTGAACATTACAGTTCAAATCACGGAACACTGGAAATGGTCCCTGAATTTCTATGCAAGTCACATCTGGCAAGCTTTTATCCATCTCAAACTTTGAATGGATTTCCTCAAACTTGGATTCGAGTTTATCCCTTACACGGGCTAAAGTGCCTCTACCCAGTTCCTCTTTGGGAAACCAAACAGAGGGACTTTTGTTACTTACATCGTTGTTACTTTTGTGTAACAACACCTGAACATTGTTACCATGTTTTACATAAATTGGAATTGGTGTTTGGCTGCCTCCAGATGCTGAAGGAAGGGGCCCATTTTCCACCTTATGTTCATCAGGTAAACCCCAATTTAAAAGAAAGTTGAGGAAAAAACTCTTACCAGCCCCGAGTGGCCCAAACACATCAACTAAAACAGTAATCTTACTTTCTGTTACAAGTTTGCTATGAAAATTGTCAATATTTTCTCGTATCTTCTTCTTGATTCCAGCGTGTTTATTCTGCTTCTGATCATTGTACAGTAAGTACCAAGCTCCTTCCATGACATCAGAACAAAGGCTAATATTTTCCCACAAACCTGACTTTTGGGGGATACCTTTGAAGCGGTCAAATTGCTTTTTCGCATAGGCTTCAATGTCTACAATAACAGAAAAAGGGGTACATCAAACTGACTCTAGAATCCATCCATCACTTATTTGGTTTGTTGGAAAAATTGACAAGGTCTCGTGCAAGGAGTTAAGCAAAATTACTTCACATCACAAACAGGTTAGTTGAGCGAAAGAAAACTATTCAGGGTTTGCTCCCTAACTGAAAATGGGGCAGACATGACTGGAAATTCAGCATTTGTGTGCAAACAAACCACCTCAAAGTCAAACCTATTCATGGTAAAACATTATAAATGGCATAATTGGGATAACTATTTAAGTAGGAGAAAAGGAACTAGACTAAACAGTGATTTAAACACGTCAATTTTATGATCAAGTTGGGTGTGACAAAAGTTAGGATAAATGAAGCATTATGCTGGAAGATGGAACTGCATATACATTAAATGATTGGGACAAAGAAGATTGGACATTTCAAGAAGAAACCCTTGTGCTAACCTCTGGTACTACAGCAGGTTTATTTTGTCATGGCCTTACTAACCTCCCATACAGTCATTTTTGGGTGAGATTCACCACTTTGGGAGCAGGAGTGGGGTGAGGTGGGGTGGGGTGCAGGAGTGAATTACAACTCCCCTAAAATAACTGCATGGGACCTCTATTATTGCAATCACAGGGGTTTCATAAGGTTTCGAGTAGGAGGGCATTTACTTTTGCAGATCTGTTTGGATTTAACTTCTTTGTCCCAAAAATTACCTTGATGTGCTCATGGCAGGCAGGCAAAATTACATTAACAGCCAGCAAATTTGCTAGGTGCCTGGCTCTTAATGAAACCCCTGAAATATATTATTAAATGTAAATGTTAATTACGTTTCTTTTCCTGTAATGTATTTTTTCTTGCTGTTTGACTAGTAACACTAAAGCAATAATCTATTGTTAAAATTGATGTTATTTTATTCATACCAAGTGGTTAATTTAGCTTCCCAGCTTGCACTCTATCTTTACTTCAGACTGAATAGTCCTCTTTATAAACCCTTCGAGATTGTAAATTAATTCTTCTTCTTCAAAATCAGCTCAATAAAGATTTGATTTGATTTGATTTGATTTGACTCATTACATATAGGAAGAGGAACTGACAGTAGGCTCACCTGCCGTCTTCTTCATGTATGCTGCCATACTCTGGGCTTCTTCAGGCGTCATATCATCAAAACTGGAGAGCTGGAACAAAAAATGTGGCCTCTTCACCAAGTGACCAAGCTCTTTGAAATCAGCTGCCAAGCCAACTGACACAACAACAATTTTGATGTTTTCAGAGGAGAGTTTCTCATATGCTGACACAAGGGGATCAGGGTTATCTTCATTGCATTCAGTGCCTGATACCTGCTTACCAGCTGTCACTAGAATGACAAGCTGATGAAGCCCATTCTGATCATGCTTGGACCTCCCTTTGAAATAATCAGCAACCTTAAGTAGGGCCTGATCCATTCTTCTTCTTCCACTTTCAATCCATGCTTCAGGTCTCACTTCTGTTAATTCAACAGAAGAGTTGTCTTTGCCAGAATCCAATGTTACTACTTTGGCACTATGCCCATACACAACAGTGACTATGGAATCCTCTGAGGGAACATCCCAAGACTGTGCCAATTGTTTGACAAAGTTTACTTCCTTTTGGAAGTTTTCATCTGACACACTTGAGGAATAATCTAAGGCAAAGACAATTTCAGTGTCAAATTCTCCATCTGAAGCTGAAAAAAAAACCACATATATTAGTTTTTTACACTCTTTACACACTTACACTTTTTTATTCATTCATGTGTCCATTTAATTTACAAAAAGTATACAGACAATGACCCACTTAACTCTTGTGAAGATCAATAAGATCAATCAAATCAAATTTTTGGTGACTGGTTGAGGCTTTATTTCTGCTACTTCTTGAGTAGCATGCACAACATTACTGTTATAATCTTTCATATCTTCAGTGATAGTATTATAAGTAATGGGAAGTCCTCTCTTTGACATCTCACACCAGAATCAAGTCTTGTGCACCTTACAGAATACAAAATTTTGCAATAATAACAGGACATAGAGCTAACCTTCACTTAATGAGCTTTCAAAGGCCTCTGAAACTCTCCGCTTTGGTTGTGGCACTGTACTATCAGCACCTATAACCAGACCATGTAAAACAAGGAAAGTTAAAGTTGGTGACAGTTGTCCCAACAAGGCTGGTACTAAACTCCAGATTCCACAGAATGAAGTGATTGCATGACTGTAGAAGCATTACTAATTATAAATGAAAGGTGAAATATCATGCAATAAAGAAATTAAGAGCTTTAGGTATTGCAATTGAATTCTTCTGAATCAGTTTTGAAACAATCAGTTCTACCAGCATCATAGCCTTAAACAGAGTCCCTAGGAGATCCAAGGTGGAAGAGCTACACTCCTCTCAGGAGTAAAGATGGCCTAAGCATACATGCAGCTACACCACCAGAGTCATCTGTTTTAATTCTTAACTTTTTTTCTTCTTCATGGTAGCTGTTCTACAGTGAAAATGATAGTTCCAAACTTGCAAAAATATTTTGCATTTTCAAAAAAAGTGAACAAGTAACCTTCACTTGTAGGTGAACCCTCAAAGGCCTCTGAAGCTGTTCTCTTGGGAGTGGATGGTGTAGCACTGCTAGCACCTACATGAATAACAGAACCATGCAAGTAAGAGACCATTTGAAGAGACAATTGCCGTTTAAAATTAGAACTACTCAGCCACAGCCAAAGGTTTGCTATCTCCTTCACCTTGACTGCTTTCAAAACCAGCCATGATTAATCCCTTTATTCACAGAACAATTTACACGGTTAAGGAAGTGGATAGTTAAAGCCCCAACTGCCAGTTCTGTAGCACGCTGCAACTAGGGTTGTTGATTCTTCCCCTGGATGGGATGATCTCCACCTACATGTAGGTGAGGTAGTGCTTTCAATAACAACTGCCTCTCACAAGAGCTCTGGCAGGTGTTCTGTTGTCAATCACTAGCTATCAATAATAAATTATTATTCATAAAGCCAGCAAAAAAATTGAGAAACAGCACATTTACTGGACCACTCTAGGTAGGTGGTTTCTTTTTCTGAAAATTTACACAAATGCTGTTATTCCTATCAAATATCTACTTCTTCCTCTCCTTGGCTATTTACCTGGCTGTTAACATGTATGTTGTTGGTCAAAACAAAGTACCTTTGTCCAAGGAAATTGAGAATCAAACTAGGTTAAATCATTTTAACCTGAATTTCATTTTGATCTACAACATATACAAATCAAACATGGTGGACAAACCATTGGGAAAGCATCGGCATCAGACAGGCCTTGTTTAATTTCTCAATATGGGGGAAGGGGTTTGGGGGGTGTGAGATGTTCCCTGCTTTTCATAAAACTCTCCGATGAAACTAAAGAAGCTACACATTTAAAATCTCATTCTGAAGGGAAACAATGTGGAAACAAAACAAGAATTGACCAAAAAATAAAGGTGAGGGTCATGAGGCTTTGATTGGGCAGTATAAACTGAAATAGCTAACAGCTTCTTTTACCTGGGGTATTCTGTTTGTCAGTGTCCATGAATGGTCTTGCTATACATGTACCATACAGCTATAACTAACCAAATCTCTAAAAAAGGACTGAACAACAACAACATTATTAATTACATGCTTAAATATTACATTTTATTGAGTTTAGTAAGTTTATTATATACCAACCATAGATTTACCTTAGACATTTCGAGATTTACTTCCCCTTCAAGTTTAAGGTTGCTGTTGGCATAGCTTATGCTGGTGTCATCAGCAAAAAGATAGACCTGGAATTTTGAGGATGCTTTGTACAAATCATTAATAATATACAGAAGAAAAAGAAGAGAGCCTGGCACCGACCCCTGTGGGACTTAACACATTGTTTGCTCTAGATCAGAAATATTATAGTTGGCATAAGTGTATTTTATACAGCCTGTTACTCAGCCACTCATTCACAATATCTCTGATGCTGTGATTTTGATGTTTGGTCAGAAGTATATTGTAGTTAACAGTGTCATATGCCTTCTTCAGGTCAATGAATATGCCACATGTGAACTTTCCATTTTCCATATTAGTATGAATATTGTTTAACCCTTTAACTCACATGAGTGACCAAGACAGAATTTCTTCTTACAATATCTGTACAATATTAACAAGTTAAGCGATGAGAATAAAGAAAAAGATCAATTGGGGGATAATTAGTTGATCCAACACTGAATTCTCTGAACTAACATTATAAGAATTTTATGGTTGACAGTGAATAGAATAACAAATTTGATCTGGGAGTTAAAGGGTTAAGATATCCAACACTGCTTGTGGGCACAAGTATTTTGTAACATAACACAAATATCATCATGCATGAGAAAAATTATTACGAATCAATTAACTAATGCTAGTAACAATCCTTAACTGAACTAAGTTATAATAACTAATAGGTGCCTGCTTTCCATGAATGCCTAGCATTATGACTCCAATTTTTATCCATACTTTAAAAAGGATTAGCTGCAACTGGATTTAAAGGAGGAGAGAGCTCACGCTTGCCACACCTCAACAGGTAGCCTATTCCACAGCACCAAACCTCTATAACTGAAACTGTTTTTTGACAAAATTGGTACAGGGCACTGGAGTAGCTAGTTTTCCCTAAGAATTCCTAAGAAAATGATTGCACCAAAATTGATGTACCAAAGTAGCCACAATGAAGACTAAGAGTGCAACCATTGCTTTTTTTCTCTTCTCCTCCTTTCATTCTCCTTGCTTTCTCTATTTTTCCTTTTCATTTCCTGTTGTGGTGTGATTTTCAGTCTTGTCGGACCCAAAAACATCGCATTCTGACCTTATTCTGGTCAAATGGCTGCAATTTTCAGTAGGCAGGTTTTCGCAAATCCAGTTAATTATGTATGGCTTATTAAATCTTGAAAAGCACTCTAACACTAATCCATTTGGGATATCCAGTCTCCATTCATGAGTATAAGACCTTTCCTCGTTTTTTTTTCAACTTTTGATCTCCATTGCGTACAGGCCATCTGATATTATGCAATGGTGCAAAAAATACCCCATTAGTGCCTCGGTTTGGTATATAATTATGTGTCATATTTAAATTTTTATCCCAATTCACTCATAATTGCTTATTTTTTGTTCTTATATAAAAAAATTGTCATTTGAACAGCACAAAAGTGGTTTTCTTTCTCAGAATCCTAGTTAAATAAGTGTAAGAAAGTGTGACATAACCTGACAAGCAATTTTGGAGAACATTTGATTATGTAATTATAACCGGAAATATGATCTTTGTGTAATCCATTGTTGTTAAAGTAAAAATGAAAACATTCTTGAATATTCAACCATATCTATGAAATTGATGTTATGTTGTGATGAAGTTTTTTATCCCGACGGAAACTCCATTTATCCTCTGTACTATATATCTCAAATTAGTTAGCTACCATTATGTATATAAGAACATTGATTCAAGCAATAAAGTAGATTCAGTTGATTGTACTGTAGTTGTATGTGCCTCTCTTTGTGAGTGTGCCCTGATAAGCCAAAGGTTAGCCCAAGCTTCACAACAGTTCGACTCTAAGCAACCCCTCTGCCATGGTTTTACTACATAAGCTTAAAATAGTTGAGGAAAAACATCGTCTAATTTGCATAATTTACCACATAATAGGCCTTTCTTACCTTATCTTACAGACGTCTGTATGCTGGGGGTCAAGTTTGTGCCCTCAGCGCTACAAATGTCTGTAAAATTTCCCGACTTTGCGAAGCTACAACTTTGCGATTTCAAAAGATACGAATCCCTATCTTACAAGTTTGACTAATTTTTAGGTGCTCTTTCTCGCAAAGTCGACGAATTTTCGTTACATGGTCCATATCAAAAGTTGAAAAAACCGCGCGTGGAAAGGTCTACTTACATAAAAGGCGGGGAAAGGTCGAACGCGGATGTGTAGACATTTTTCACAAGAAACCCACGAGCAAATATCTTTGTAAATCACTAGCTGAACGAAGTACATCCAGAAGTGACTTAACATTGAGAAGTAAATGGCCTAAAAGCCAGTTAGAATGTTCTGTATTATATTGAAATGTAATCGACATGAAATAGCGTATAAAAGTAAGCTTTTAATGTAATCTACGATGGCGTTCCAAACAAACTGTGCAACTTGTATCATTTACTGAAAAAGCTTCTGATATAGGAGTGAAAGCTTAAATTATTGTTTTCAGTATTATCCCTAAGGAGGCGAATTTAAACAAAATTATTAACCTGAACGAAAGCAACTAGATTAATATTAGTTAAGCTTATGACTAAAACACATTTTTAAAATAATATTACCCGTAGAATAAGGAAAATCGACAAGAATTGTCCTCTAATTTGTTCATTGACTCAGCATACCTGTTCGTGTTACATCGCAAAAACTTAGAGATGAAGTTCAACGCCTGAACACTGCAGCAGATGCCAAATTTGTGGCGATCGATCACCGCAAACACCTCTGCACGCGATCGAAGCGGCAACTGATACCATAATTAGTACAACACTC